CCTCCGCTGGAGGGGGGGACGCGAGCGGGCTGCCGGGGAGGGACCGGCACCGCCGCCGCAAAATGAGCCTGCTGTCGGCCATCGACACGAGCGCCGCCTCGGTGTACCAGCCAGCCCAGCTTCTCAACTGGGTCTACCTGTCGCTGCAGGACACGCACCAGGCGAGCGCCTTCGATGCCTTCCGGCCTGAGCCTCCCGCCGGCGCTGCGCCTCCAGAGCTCGCCTTCGGCAAGGGCCGCCCGGAGCAGCTGGGCTCGCCCCTGCACTCCAGCTATCTCAACAGCTTCTTCCAGCTGCAGCGCGGAGAGGTGGGTGCCCCCGCGCGCCCCCACCCTCCGTCGACCGCGCTGGGCCTTTTCCTATCTATCCCACTCTTCCTGGCCTGGCCCAGCTCCGTATTGCCCTGCCCTGCTTGGCTTGGCTTCCCTCTACTCTGCCAAACTCGCCGCCCGAAGTCCCCGGGGCGCCGGGAGCGCGTCACCTCCCGGCAGAGCCCAGCCGGGAGCAGCTCAGGCGCGGGCGGGGCCCTCCTGCCCCCTCTCCCAGCCTGGGGCGTCCCGCTCCAAGGGGATTGGGGGGCCCGGCTGGGCCCGGGCTCTGATTCTCTCTACACAGCCCGGGAGCAGCCAGGATAGGGAGCCCCTTCCAAGTGTCTTTCCCACTCTCAAACCCATCCCCCTCTTGGCTCCCATTTGCCGGGACCCACAGTGCAGATTCTACCCGGAGCTCCTCTGGAGGGCCCTAAAATATTTTCTCCTCCGACCTCGGTGGTTTCCGACCCGAAGGGCATCCTAGAGAGCTGTGACGTCCAGAGGGCTTTTCCTGCTGTTCGCACGCAGGGACCCCCAGATACATCCTCCAGCTGCTCGCCCTCCCCTAGCCACATAGGAAGTGGTTTTTGAGGGCTTGACCCCACAGACTGCGCTGTCCCCCGCCCTCCTAGCCTGGAAGGAAATGAAAGGGAAATCCTCTTGAGCTCTTGCGAGGGGGGCTAGTAGGGAGAGAGGTTCCAGCTGCTCAGTGCCTTCTCCAGAAACCTGGGCCGGCTGCTTGCAAAGTCTGCTGTTGGGTAGATTCAGTTACAAAGTGGAAGGGCAGTGCATCTTCCCCAGCTAGATAAACACACAGGTTGCCAGGACCTCCCAGCCCCTTTCGAGGGGTCTTCATAGCCTTCCTAGATACCACTGCTTTCTCCCTTCAGCTGGACTCCTCCTCTCCCCTACTCCCACTTACTCCTGCCTCATTTGTGAGAGGCACACACCCTTCTGTGGCCTTCACTCACTCCCCTCTGGCAGCTCTCTGCAAAAGTTCAGGGGGAAGGGGTGGGGGAGAGGACACACATGAGGGTCATTTTCCTTCTAGACCTGGGCCATCAGTTAGTTTTAGGAGAGTCACAGGTTTGGGGGAAAGGCTTGTGTAGAAGGTGAAGGGGGAGACAGAGGGTTGCCTTTTCTGGCCCCATCATGTGTTCAACTGCCGTTATTGGAGAGACACAGACATATGAAATGCTGGCCTCAGGATTAGAGGTGGGCCAACACTAGGCGAGCAGAAGGACTGGTTGACCTGTGTTGATCTGGTTAGGCATAGTTGAAGGAGAGGCGTGTGGAGAGGCAGCCTTTGGTGCCAGGCGAAAGAATTTGTATGCCAAAGCTCTTTGTAAACTGTAAAGCACTCTCTCCACATGAGGAATTGTTTTTGGCTGGGAATTTTTCTTTCTTGTAAGAGACTTTGCTGCCTCTTCAGGGAACTGGCTTTACCAGTGACTTTGGGGGACAGTTTGTGGGGTGTTGCTTCAGCGCACAGTCTTTTCGGTTGTTTGTTCTCTTACCAAACATTTGTTGAGCTCCGTGTGGGCCCCTGGAAATTCAGGCACTGGCTCGTGGGGGCCCAGATTAGAAGACAGACAGGACGCTACAGTGTGAATGGAGGGTGATTTCATTGGGGTCCTGTGGAAGCCTTAAGGGAGGAGGGTGACTGTGAACCACAGGTCATGCGGGGGTCTCTAATCAGTTCCTACTAGCCTCCCTCTGCCCCCAACCTATGGTGGCCTTGTTCCCAACAAGTGGGTCTCTGCTAAGAGGGCCTCAGAATCCCCTGTGGGAGGAGAAAATCGTGCCTTGTCTTGGAAATTTCCAGCATCCAGTATTCCAGCTGAGTCTCAGTGAAACTGCTTCCTGTCTCTTCACTTTTGCTTGCCTTAGTTTCTCCATGAAGAGGCACATTCCTTTACTGCAGCCACTGTAGAAGGAGCTGATCAAGGTTATCTACAGCAATGGTGGAAAAAAGTCTCTCATAATCTGACTTTGGGGGAATGCCCTGTCTCTGGGCCTCTGTTTACCTGTCTGTTAAATGTAGTCTCTACTCTCCCTGAGGGTGATGTGCATGGGATTTGAGAGCTGTACAAACAGGAGAGGATGTGTCTACAGACAGGCTGGGTTAGGGGAGGTAATGGACTTCTCCTGTGCTCCCAGGCCAGTGGCTTCCTTGGAGGGGTTGGAAGGCTGTGCCTGCTGACTTCTGGAAGGCTCTCTTGGCTTCAGGCTCACTCACTCTCACCCCCTACCCCACCCACTTCTCCTCTTAAACCCTTTTAGAGCCCCAGCTGTGCTCCTGGGGACAGGCCTTTCATGCATCTAGGACTTAGCCAGTGACCTAATGTGGCTTCCAAATAGCAACTGGCTGAAAAGGCAAGAAAAAAATACCCCTTACCTGAATGCCACCAAGGGGCTGTTTGGAACGGAAGCAAGTCGTGTGTGGGCCAGAGGAGACTCTACGAAGGGACCCAGGGACTCAGGCATGTCGCCATTCTGTGCAAGGCCTGGCAGCCCCGGTGGCAGTGCCTGCGGATGTGACTTGCATGCTGACCGCTGACCGCGGCCTGTCTGCACCAGTCCCTGTGCCAAGAGCCCACCCCCTCCCGCACCAACCCCAGGCTGCTCCCACCACAATAGCAAAACACCATGAATGCAGCTGGGATTTGGGCGAGGGGGCGGTATTGAGGACATGGGGGCACAGAAGCCCATTGTGCCAGTGGAACCTCAGCTCTCAAGCTGAAGATAAGCCAAGAGTTCTGAGTTGAACACTGCTCCTGGAAGCAGAGAGAGGGAGGGAGGGAGGGAGAGAGAGAGAGAGAGAGAGAGAGATGGCAGAGTTCATGTGCAAGTGCAGGAGCAAGCATCAGGAGGTGACTTGGATGCTTGTGGGGGCTCTCAGCTTCTCAGATTGTGGTACAGGTGCCAGGCTAAAGCAGGCACAGGTACTCTGTGCCGTTTTTTTTTTAAAGACCTCTGGGCCTAGAAACTGGACCTTGTGAACCCTGTTTCAACCCCTGATCTGTGGCAACAACAATATGTCTTTGGAGAGAGACTCCTGAGGCTCTTGGCTGAGTACCATCTGTCTCTCCAGGTACTCAAGGAAGGCAGCCCTTAGAGGGAATTGGGGTTGGGACGCATGGGGTCTTCCCTGCCAAGTTTGTTTAGAATTTAGATTCACAGCAGTATGTGTACCGTGGGACTCCTCTTCCAGAAAAGTGGAGTTACCACCTTGTTGAGCATTAGCTCTTGCGCCCCTCAGAAGGATGCTCAGAACCCCTCCTCAAGGGGACATGTGGCTGTCTCACACCAGGTCAGATGCTCAGGGCAGCCATTTTCTTTCCCTCTTCCTCAAGGGACAGACGTGGCTCAAAGATGTGGCCTTACAGTCAAGTGATGCTTTGTGGGGGTTGAGAGAAGGGCTTTAGGGTCAAATGCATTTGGAAAGCATAGAATAGTATCCTTCCTTTGGAGACACACAATGCCCTCTAGCACAGTAAAGGCTCTGAGAAGTCTCACAGCACAAAACCTGTAACCTTTCTTAACCCAACGTTTTCCATACCTATTTGACCAAAGCACATTTTTGGCACAGAACATTTGCCAGTGTACTTCTAAACATCTCCAGCCCAGGGAATACTCCACTGAAACAGACCTCTCCCTTATTGGGTTGTTTCAACCCTTAGGAGGCTGTTCCTGAAACTGTGAACCCAGGCGCCCTCCCCAGGTCCTAGCACTGTCTTTTGCCACACTGAAGATCCCCTCTTCTTTATCACTTTGGTTCGCCCATGGAGATTTGAGAACAGCAGCAAAGGTGTCACAAGGCTTAACAGACAAGCCTTCAGCAATTCTGCATTAGAACCCCTTGAGGAGTGACTGTGGGATCCTGCTTTTAAAAGGCCCCAAGTCTTGAGAGTCTTTAAGACTGAAGGTTTTGATGTGTCACCTATGCCCTTCACAGGTATAGAAGAGCCATGAGACCACCTCACCAGTGTGGATGTATAGGACAATGCCACATACCTGTATGAGAATGGGAGTTTACCTCACTGGGGCTAAGATTGAGCTTCAAAAGCTGAAATTTGTTCCCAGCAGC